TGGCGTGACTTGGTGTGCATGGCAGGGGAAGGTTACTTCAAAATCCCCATTTCCTCCCGATCATCTGGGACTCCGGAGGCTGAGAATAGATGGGGGCAGGGCCAGTCAGAGGTGGTATTTACTGGTTCTCTGAACTACTCAAAATTTCCGCTACCGGTTCTCCAGAACTGGTCAGAACCTGCTGAATACCACCTCTGTACAGAATATATGAGATTCATGAAAACAATAACCATAGGATAGAGGAAAAGTCTTTCATCAGTTTAGGTGGAGAATTGTGGCAAATTAAATCCAATGTATACATACAAAACCACACAATTGGGAATTGTAGCTCAGATACAACTGCAATTAAACTGAATCAGGGTCAAATTTGATGGTATCACATTGTCCATCTCAAAGGAAATTATTTGCAAGAGCAGCCAGGAAAGGAATTTATTCATTCATTCATTCATTCATGAAAATCAGATTGTTAGTCACTTCTATTAGATAGATTGAAGTTTCATAAAATCTTTGAAATAACTTTAATTTCAGTATCTTGGTGGGATTATTTAGTATTGTGTGGATAATCAGTACCCGTTTCTATTGTACTTTCCTCTCTGGTAGCAATAAATTTACGGAATAATTATTAAATAACTTTTATTCATCATCAATAGAAGCTTTAGCTGACAAGCCAAGAAGCTGAATTTTAATTCACTGGGCTTGAAGTTAACAGCATATTTAAGAGTGTTTATACAGTTTAGACACTATCCTTAATTTACTAATTTACTGACCCTTTTGTCCAGGATGAAATGTGCTTGTTCTGAAAGGGGGAATAGAAGAGAGACACATAATTTCCATTTCTTGTATGGCAACATATGGTTTCAATCTATCCTACCCATTGTTGATACTCTTCCCCCCAAAAAAACGAGAATAAGTTCTCGGAGGCACTTGGTCTCTTTAATTATTGAATGGGAACCCCCCAAAAGTTTAATTTTTAGTATTTTGTATCTTTGTTATATATTTATTTATACATTTTTCTTTAGAATACATAGAAACTCAATATCTACATGAATAGTGTGTTGTCTTGCAACAATTCATTTTGAAAAAGTAATAGCAATAATAACACTAATATTCATAGCATTAATGATAATCGCATAATGATAATATTTGCTTACCCCTACTAATAAACCTTCATTCTGTAGTTGGTCATTCTCTTAAACTTTTGAGTTTCTAACTTCTGTTTCTATTAGCTATCCATTCGTAAAACAAATCCCACATTAAAAAATATTCTGTTTCTTCCTTCTCCTTTATTTGAAGTGTTAATCTATCCAGTTTAATTTTTAGTATTCTGGTAGTTTTTTCTTCCGGCAACAAGGGACTGTTTTTATGATACATCTGATTACATGCAAATTTGTAACAACAAGATTAATTAACAACTAATGTACTGAAAGCTAACTAAGGCATTCGATTAAATGTTTAATCCGTTGAAAGCTCTATCAAATAATGCTTTATTTTCACCTTGCGCAGGATAAGATCTTTAATCTTTGTCGATTATTATTTTTTGTAACATGTTCTTCCTTTGTCTCCCCAGGCACGGCTTCCTGTGAAGTGGATGGCCCCAGAGAGCATTTTTGAATGCGTGTACACCTTCGAGAGCGATGTTTGGTCTTATGGAATTCTGCTTTGGGAACTCTTCTCTTTAGGTAACAGGCGCCTGGTGATCACATATGTCCTTTGTACATGTAGTGTTGTGACTTGTCGGCAGCCAAATTAGATCAGGAGGAGGCGTGGGAGTCAGGGCCAGCACCAAGCCAACCTGAGAGCTCCGAGGGAGAAGAGGGAATGGAGCTGTCAGAGAGAGAGAGAGAGGGAGGGAGGGAGGGAGG